TAGGGGGGTGGGGAAGATGTATCTAGATCATTCCAAAGCTCAAAGGAGTTACATGATTTGGGAACTCTGAGTTCCCTGTTCTTCCCTTCTTCCCACTTCCATTTGGGTCAACAGAGCCCAAGGGTTGCCCTTGGGCCTTAGACCTCAGCCACATCTTCTGTCTCTTGGCAAAAACCACTCACAGCCAATCTGGCCACAGCCCCATCCCACAGCCTAGGCCCTCCCTTGTCAGGCCAGGGTGACCATCTCCTGACACCCATCTCCTTACCCAGAGCAGAGGCTGGATGGGGCTGGGCTGCTGCCCAGGCCATCATCCTGATAGTGAAACTAGGTCACTGCCTTTGACACCACAGAAGTCCAGGTTTTATGGCTCCCTGCAGAAGCAGGACGAGGCAGGACAAGCAGGATGAAAGCACAGGTCATCTTCAGGGATGGGAGGGTCTGAACAAAAGTCCTCTGGACAAGGAAACACTTGCTGCTATTGCAAACCCTGACTAAGCCTTAATTACACTGTGAGGTTCTGTTGCCATCTGAGAGGGGCAAAACTCCCCCTTCCCCGACATGAACTTCAGGATAGCAGCCAAACCTCTGCGTCTATCCCTCAAATCCCCCACTATCCTGCCCCAACCTACCTCCCCAGCAACTCACCACCACACCTCAAGCAACCAATGTCTGGGAAAATTCAAGGTGATCCTGAAACACAACTCATCTGTTTCAGTTTGGACTGCCCTACCATCTGCCTCCCCTCTCTTTCTGCTTCCTGCTTGATGGTTCCCTGAACCCAACCCTCAGTCCATTAAACAATGCTAGGGTCTGTGCAACCAAAGCACCTCTCTGATTTCTCTCCTCCTCTCTATCTCCAGGTAACCCAAGCTGCCACATTCTTTACCTTGGAGGTTGAAAACCACCATGTTCTGATATTCCCCCCTTCCAGCTCATCCCAGGATCTACCACTGCCAACACCTCGTTTTAAGTGTACACTGCTGACCCATCTTCTATCCTTCCAATTTATCCATCTCTCAAGTCCTCATTCCAGCAGCCCTTTAAACCTCTGTTAAAATCCAAGTGTCCTGGGGCTGGGGATTTAGCTCAGTGGTTCCACCGCCTGCCTCACAAGCTCAAGGTCATAAGTTCTATCCCTGGTACCACCAAAAAAAAAAAAAAATCCATTCTCCAACATGGCCATGAACATTTTTTCTCTGCCTTAAGCTTCAAGATTCCCCTAATGGACATTATGGTTCCCTCTTCAATGCCTTCTCCTTTCTCTCTGGCCCTTTCTTTCCTTGGCTTCTAAGACAGCACACTCCTAATTTTTCTCTGACCTCTCTAGAGCCTCACAGTCTCTCCTGGTGCTGGGTTTCCTCTAAATATTGCTGGGCCTCAGACTTAACCATCAGCCTGCCTCTCTCCCCAGGGCACTCAGCCAGACCCATGGCTTTGGGTCCCATCAAGATCCCAGTAACCCACCACCCCCATCTCTTCAGCCTACACACCTCCACTGGGCCCGTCTCATTGATACCACTGTCCCCTCAGTGTTCCCATGTTGACGTTCAACAGACGTTGCCTTCACAGTATGTCAGAAATGGGATTCATTCCATCTCTCCCACTCACCACCCCCCACAAATATAAAAGTTTAACCCCCATCTCTTGAAATATCACTCAAGCTAGCCAGATGCAGAAGCTATCTGTGACAGTCAAACAGGATTTTCACCTTGATTGAATTCAAAACCACCTAGGGGATTAGTAAAGAACACTTCAGGGTATGTCTAGACAAGTCATGGAGGCATGACCTTGGCTAATATGTCTGTCTGGCCCCTTCTTCTCTAGCACTGAACCCCTGGTCAGAGGAATGAGAGCATTCCTCTGCCCAGCCCTTCCACCACAATACTTCTGTTGTGGAGACAGCCTACCACGGACTATGAAACTGTGAGCCAATTAAGCCTCTCTTCCTTTAATACACGAGTGTCATATAAGTTGGTGGTGTCAATTATTTTATCCAAGGACAGGAAAGCTAACCAATAAATCATCACTATTATTCCTCTTTCACTGACCAACCTTATCAGCAAGTCTTGTCAGATGGAACTTCAAGAGGTCTCCCTCTACAGTCCCTTCTCTCCATGTACACCACCCTGTCTGCCCAAACCAACATCACTTATGTCTCACCTCACCACACACTAGCAGCCACTATGGAAACAGTTTTGTAGATCTTCAAAACGTTAAACACAGAATGATGATACATATGATGCAGCAAGATCATTCCTAGATGTAGACACAAAGAACTGAAAACAGGTGATCAAACACAAACTTGTTCACAAACGGTCACTCACAGCTGCTCTATACTCGGTAGCCACAGGTGAAAAGCAACCTTCCTGGCCCCTTTTCCTGGCACTTTGATCAGATCTTCCCATGACTAGTCCTTGCTGATCCGACAGGTCTCTGCCCTAACCCTAGAGGCCTTCTCTGACCTGTTCATTCCCTTCAGGATCCACCCCTACTTGTAACAATTGTTTCCTTGTGTTGTCCATGTCCTCTAAATAGAAAGTAGACTCTCCAAGGCAGGATTGCTTTTCCTGTCTTCTTGTGGAACACAAAAGGTGCTCAGCAGACAGAATAGTTGTTGAGCCTCCAACCCCAAAAGTCCAGGCATGTCCTCACCCAGGCTATGCCCATCCAAAGAGTGTACACCTGCCCCTCCTGCTCCCCCTCTGAGCAGAACTCTTTCAGTAGGTAGAGACACGGCCTATATTCCTAAGATCCTCACATCCCACCAGGCACTCAGTCCCTGTCTAACAAGGGGCAGAGGGAGGGGAGGAACAAGAGAAACAGAACACAGAATGGGGTCCTCTGAAGAGCTCAAAGGACTGTGACCACCAGGTCTTGGACTCCTCATGTGCCATCTCCATACAGCCTCACAGGAACTATACGATGAAGAAACAGAGGCTCAGTGAAGGAAGTAGCTTGCTCCAGGCCACATGACTGTCAAATGGAGAAATGTAGAGAGCTCTGACCCAGAATCCTTGTTCCTGGTCATTGGGCAACACTGCCTGAAGAGAGATAGGAAGATACATGAGGTGGTTCATGCCTATAATCCTAGCTATTCAGGAGGCTGAGGCAGAGGCATCAAAAGTTCCAGGCCAGCCTGGGCAACAATAAAATTTTTGAAAGGGCTGGAGATGTAGCTCACCAGTGGAGCATTTACCTAGCATGAGCAAGGCCCTGGGTTTGATCCCTAACACCAATGAAAAAAGACAGAAAGTAGGGGAGGGGGGGACAGATTTCCAGTATCTGTTTGCAGCAAATACAAAGGTCCTGAATTCCTGATCTACAAAGAGTAGTTTCTCCTCACCTACAACATTAATGCAGGTCCTAGGCAGCTAAGCCCATAGCCCAGACTGTTCTCACCCTGGAGACCATGGAACAGGGGCTGCTGTCCCCACCAGAAGTGCTTAGCAGTAGATATGGCCACCCCAAGCTGGGCCCAGCAGCGCTGCAGCTTTGAGATTGCTCTCAGGCAGGCTGGGGTGGGGACAGGAGTGGAAAGGCACGTTCAGGGCCCCCCCTTTTTTGTACTGGGGATCAAACTCAGGCCCTTGCACTATCGAGGCAGGCAGCAGCACCACTGAGCTAAATCCCCGACCCTGGGGACCCCTTTAAGGGAGCCAGCAACACCTGTTCCCTAAGCGCCAGGAAGTGGTCTCGGGAACAATGGGTTTGTGGGCCTTGGAATACACACAGCTTCTCTCCCATTCTACACTCAGGCAGAGGCCCAGGCTGACTTCCCCAACATCACTGCACATGTGCTCATTACCCAGGCCCTAGCCCTCCTGGGGCCAGTGCCCTGTGAGCTCATGAGCCCGGTGCAGGCTGCTCCTCCTTTTCCCCTAGCCTGCTCCAGCTGCCATCAGACTGCATCTTCCACAGCCCTGGCTTTCCATGGGCCTGTAGGCTGGGCCCATAGCCTTGCCATCATTTAAGTTTTAATATAAATCATAAATACTACTGTCATTCTTATGTATTAGTATTGTTTATAATAAACTCCTTACTAGGAGCTGGGCCCTGACACTTGATGTTGTATTGATTACCGCTCTTCATCCTCCACAGGAACTTTAAGAAAAATCTTTATTCTCCCCACCAACAGATGCAGAACCTAAGACTCAGAGGTCAGTGACTTGCCCAGGGTCACACAGCAATGAAGGCACGAGTAGGATGTGAAGTCTTTCCCAGCTCTTTCTTCCCTCATATATCTAGATTTTCCTGGCTAACTCTGCAACCAGACATACTACCCTCAAGTCACAGAAATACCTCCAACCCAACAGGGGGCTCTGAGCACCACTGGGGGAGCGATGGCGAAGCAGTGGTTGGGTGGAGCCAGGTGGTGTGATGGAGGACGCAGAGGGTGGCATGAAGATGGGGTTACACAGGGCATGCACACCACTGGCTACACTTACCACCTGAGGGAGGACAGGAGAGCCCAGAGAGGGTCCCCGCAGCAGAGGAGAGAAGGAGGAGTTGGTTAGAGAGCCACAAGAAGAAGCACAGAGGCAGCCTGAGGCATGGAGCAGACCCAGCCTCCCAGCAGCACCCCACACCTGTCAGGCCATTCGAGGTTCTGACAGGGATGGGGTGCCGGGAAGGCATAACCTATCGTTTGATTACCAGGGGCTGCCTCACATGCTATTTCAGATGGCTGCACTCAGGCTCGGGGTGGAAAGAGCCCAGGCACTTTAGCAATGAGTGGCATGGACCAGCCTAGGAGCACGCATCTTATCCAGCACACCCTAAACTCCCACGGGCCCCAACCATCCTCACTGCCATGTGCGGGGCCAGAGCCCAGGCAGATCAAAATGTGCTATAACAGGACCAAATCTAGAAACCAAGTTGCCCAAATCCCAGATCTGCTAAAACAAACACAGTCAATGAGCAAGAGATCTCAGGGAGGGGGCTGGGAAAGGGTCACCCTGAGGGCGACTCAGCCTGCCACCTTCCTCCCCTCAACTCACATGTCCGTGCAGGTCCGTGTTGAGCAGCATCAGGGCACAAGTGAGCGTGTGGATCCCATCTAAATCAGAGATGGTAGCAGCGTCAGTGTGAGGGCCCAGCACATACCCCCCATAGCTGCCCACCTGTCTTCCTATAGCACCCGCCTGGAAACCCAGGGGACAGGAAGCGGCCAGCCACCTGCCCTCAGAGCTGGGGCCTGGGTGATGCTCCTGCCTGCCCCAGGTCAGGCCATCCCCTCCCTCAGAGGGAACCTGGGAGCTCTGGCCTGCTCTAGCCCATATGCCTGCCTCCTGTAGCCTAATTCTTCTGGAACCTCAGGCCCAGCAATGGCTCTGTGTCCTGGGCCATGTCTCTGCTTTGACCTGTGTCTCTTGAATTTCTGGGATTCAGGTCCACTCATAGGCCAAGTTCCCAACCAGGAGCCCCGCCCCACCAAGAATCAGCATTGTGACAGGGCACCAGGGTGTGTGAAGACCCGAAAGACCAAATCTCTAAGACTGAGGACTTTGAGGCACTGGGAAAGACAGTGGAGCGCTCTTGCCCAGCAGGCAGCCCCATCCATGTGCCATCTGCTATTCATTCAATGTTAGTTTAGCACCTACTGTATGCCACAGGAGTAAGAGAAGGCCAAGGCCCGAGGGGCAGTGGGAAGGTGGGGTGGAGCAGGCAGGGCCTTACCTTCTGAGGTGCTGTCATCAGGGTTGCACTGGCAGTACCGGTGGGAGAAATGTGTAAGGACCCGCTCACGCTCCTGCGTCTCCCCCATCAGCGGAAAGGCCTTCAGGAAGGTTCTGGAAGGCAATCCAAGGCAGCTGGGGGCCTCCCAGAGTTGCTGAGTCAGTCTGGGTCCTCAGCCAGAGTAGAAGCCCCACCACACACACATTCGTCCCAGCTCCTATTCCCCAGCCCACACTCTGCTTTCCCTGGAGCTTTTCACCAAGCCCCAGCCCAGCACGGCCACCACTAAACTCAGGCTGCCCCCCCAGATTTGCTCCCACCATCGTCCACCTCTCCCCACCTCAGCCCCTGAAGCCCTTCTACTCTGTCCTCTCAGCAACCTCTCATACCTACCTTTCCCTATCCACCCCACCACCCACCCTCTGTCCTTGTCTTCTCCCACCTGTCCCTCTTCAAAAGCCTGCACACCACTACCAGCACTGCTTTACCCCCAGTGCCATCTGTGGCTCCCCAGTGCCTGTGCACTTGAGCCTCAGTACTGGGCAAACACACAGTGCCTCTCGTCCAGCACCTGTGCCTCTGATCATGAGCTGGCCCCCCTGAACACTTTTCCACAATCTTCCTCTCCACCATGCAATCCTGAAGATTCACTCAGGATAGAGTAGGTGCTGCAAGAGACAGACACTTCCACTGAGAACAGTGGCAGCAATGTGTTTTCTTTCTTTTTTTTTTTTTGGTAGCAGGGATTGAACTCAGGACCTTGTGCTTTCAAGGTAAGTGGCGGAACCACTGAGCTAAATACCAAGCCAGCAATGTGTTTTCTTAAGCTGTCAGGAAACTGCTGAGGCAACAAAGATCAGAAAAGCCAAGATCCTGGAGACAAGAGGACTGGGGAGAGGGGGCTCATCTGCTGTGGCTGCTTTTACCTGAGACATTGCTGAGTAAGAGCAGAGGCAAGGGGCAAGACAGCAGGTGGCTTCAAAGGGCTGGAGAGACAAACCTGGATACCGGAGGGGCTGTAAGCACACAGCCAGGTATGTGCCAAATTCCAAAGAGCAAAAGGAAGGATGCTAAAAAGCTAAAAGGAAAGCCTCTGGGAAGTAGAGGACTATGTTCTTGGGTTTTCTTTTCTTTTCTTTCTCTTTGGTTTTTGGTTTTTTTCAGCAATCTTGCTACACTGAGGAGACAAAATGAGGATTCAGAATTCACCAAGGGGCAAGGTCCAGTGACCACACTAGGCTCCTGAGGAAAGTCCTGAGGTTTTTCCAAGATCAGGGCAAACCCTGAGCCCCACCAAGCTTCAGTGCTTTGTCTCCTCAGCCAGCTGTGCTTGGATTAGGACCATATCCAGGTTCCCTTCTAACTGCCAGTGAAGGACAGGGTAAACAGAAAGAAAACAAACAATCTAGGCCCACTATAGTTCTATATAGAGAGTAAAAAAATTACTAAACATGCAAAGAGATAGTATAAATGATGGGAAAGCAAGAGAAAAAACAGGCAATAGAACAGGTACAGATGATTCAGATGATGCCAATATTAGAGACAGCAAACAGGGACTTTATACTAATATGTTCAAGAACAGAGGTAAAGATGGAGAAAATTAGTGAAAAATGGAGAATTACTCAGAGAATAAAAATCTTTTTTTTTTTGTAGTACTGAGGATTGAACCCAGGGCCACTTGCATACTAGGCAAATGCTCTACCACTGAGCTATATCCCCAGCCTTTTTTTTATTTTCTTGAGATAGGATCTCCCTCAGTTGCCCAGGTTAGCACCAATCTTGAAATCCTCCGGCCTCACCCTCCCAAGTAACTGGGATTACAGCTATGCATCACTGACCCTAGCCTAGAATCTATTTTTAAATTTTAAGTAAGATGGAAATTCTAGAGCTGAAAAATATGATAACAGAAAGTTAAAACTCAGTAAATGGGTTTAATGGCATTCTGGACATTAAAAAAGAAAAGAGTAAGTGAAGTGAAAGCAGGTCAATAGAAAATACCCCACCCATAGCAGAGAAAAAAGAATAGAAACTACATCTTTTTGGGGCCAGGATTTAGCTCAGTGGTTCCAATGCCTTCCTCAAAAGCACAAGGTCCCAAGTTCAATCCCCGATACAAAAAAACATTATATATATAAATATATATATTTATATATATATATTTATATTTATTTATTTATATTTATATATATATGAAACTACATCTTTTTAAAAAGTATAAGAGACACATGGGACACAGTGAAATGACCTAGCATATATGGACCACACAGCCTTTGCTCAGAGACTAAGGGTCCTGTCTATCCTCCTTATGGCCTGGTCCCTGCCACCACAGCCTGCTGACACTTAGCTTCATCCAACATTGCATCACCTCCTGCTCCCTGGAGCCTGCACCTGGCCCTCCTGAGGCTCCTCCCTGGTCAAACCCCAGTTAGAGTTGAGATCAAATACCCTCTCATTGAGTCATCTTGCACTCAGTGACTATGGAGAAGCCTCTTTACCTCTCTGCCCAGAATTTCTTCATTTGAAGAGTAGGAAGGATTGTGCCCACCTCACAGGGCTGCTCTGAGGATGCAGTAGACAGGTATGTAAAGACAGCTGCTGCTCTTGGCCTCCTCCCAATAGCGTTTCGAGAGGGGTCAGGAGACTTGCCTGAGGTTGCACAGCGAGTTTACAATAGAGCTCAGATGAGAATCCAGGTGTGCTGCTCATGCCACCTGTGGACATTGTCCCATCCCAGACCCACTGACCTGAGCGCTCGGTCCAAAGTGAGGCCGGAGAAGTCAAAGAAACTGAGGTACTCGCCAGCCACCAGCCTGCTGAACTCATTGCTGCCAGGAGAACACGAGATGTCAGTTAGAAGCACGGTCCAACCCAAGGCTGGCAGAACAACAGGGGATACCTGGGGATGGGCTCCAGTGTCCCCTGACCCACCGACCCAGATCTGCCAACCCGTAGGCTACCTCCCCTGCTGGCCATCAGGCTCTGACAGCTCAACCTCCGGCTGCAGGATCAGGAGGGCTTCCTGGAAGGTGATGCCTCAGTCAACAGGGAAAGTGAGAACCAATCAGGTGAAGGAAGAGGAGATGGGATGATACCAAATGCTCTGGACAGAGGAAACTATATCGAATGTCCAAGAAGCTACCAGCACAGCCATGTGGCCAGGGCCTGGAAAGCAGGAATGGGGACAGCAAGAGATAGGCAGGAAATAGGACTGGAGGCCAAAGGAAGGATGGTGACATGATTCCGCAGATGGTCACATCTGTATTGTGGACACTACCTGCTGCGTGGAGAACCCATGGGGAGGGTGTAGGAGTTGTTCGGGAAAGAGGTGGGCACATGATTTACGAAGCAGAATCTTCCAGAAGAGGAGACGGATCAGATGGGAACAAGACTGAAAAGGTGGAAATATCGGGGCTTGGGACAAAGACGGGGTGTGTGTACATCCATGAGAGCCATCACTCCCCAGTGGTCAGTAACAACGTGGTACAGTGAGAGCTGAGCCCACCTGAGAAGAATGAGCAGAGCCGGGTGACCAGGCGGGGTAGGGCTCTGAGGCCATCCTGGAGGCCAAGGAGGAGTGTGTCACAAAAAGACTGGAATGGATTCTGGTCAAAAAAAAAATCAGAACACATTTCCACCTGATTCTAATCAAGCCTCAAGGTCTCCCTCCCATTAACAGGATCCATGGGAAATAAAGGAACATGTAAAATAAAAGCTTGCAGGGGCTGGGGATTTAGCTCAGTGGTTCTACTGCCTGCCTTGCAAGCTCAAGGTCCCGAGTTCGATCCTCAGTACCAGGACAAATGGTTCAGCTTCCTCAACAAATGCATGCCACTGAAAAGGGGAGGGGCTGCTGTAGATTAAATGATACTTGAGAGATACAGGACCAAATGCAATGTGTGGACCTTGTTTGGGTCCTGATTTGACAAAACAATATTTTGAGACAATCAGAGAAAATTAAACATAAGCCAAATGTTGAAGATAATAAGGAATTTCTGTTAATTTTATTAGAAATTATAATTATATAAACAAACTCATCAGAGATATACACTAAAATACTTAGGAATCAAATGACATAATGTCTTAATATGCTTTAAAACATTCCAGCAAGCCTGGCGTGGCAGCACACGCCAAAAATCCCAGCACTCCAGGAAGTTGAGGCAGGAGGATCATTAATTCAAGCCCTGCCTGAGCAATTTAGTCATTTAAGGATTTGGGCTGTGATTTGGGGAGACTTTTGCTTTTCAGATGAGAGAGAGGAGCACCACTGACAGCTAATGGGAAGACAACTGCAGAGGGAGAAGTTGGAAGGATGGAAGGGTTCAACCACAAGAAGGCTCCTGAGAGGCTGTCATTAGGTTGGGGGAGCTCACAGCCGAGAAGGGAGGTGAAGCCATCTGAGTTGTGCTTTCTTTGCCAGGGCCTTTGGGGGACCCAATGTAAGAGTGATGTGGAGGCTACAGAGGGTGGAGAAGGCAGGATGGAGAAGGGATGGATCCAGGACCTGAGCCACCACTGGGGCGCCCATGTCAGCTCCAACTCATGGCCAAGTCCCTTAAGCCTCATGAGTGGCACTCAGAGTCCAGGCCCACTTCTGCCCACCTCAGAGCCTTCCTGTGTTGACAGGTAGCTCTCTGACAGGGGTACAAAAGGCAGGGGCCATGCTGGTGGTCAGACATGCTCAAAATGTGCCCAGTCTTCCTCAGCTGGAGTCCCTACCTGTTCCCTGAACCCCATCTTGCCTGTTTCCCCTTGCACCCACCTGCAAGCCAGGGCCTGTGCTCTGGGTGTCCCAGCACCTTCAGCTGGTCCCAATGGACAGAAGGGCTTAATGAGCCCCCTCCTGAGCCCTAGATCTCAGCCATTTCTCCCCCACACCCCTACACAAGCTCTCTTCTCTCCCTGGCCCCATTAGACAGACCACTAGCTCCTGTCCAGCAGCTCTGTCCTCACTACCATCCACCACGATCCCATAATTACAACCTGCATCAAGCTCCTCAGCCCTGAGGGGCCACCTGCCCCCACCCCTCCCTGAGAGCAGCAGCCCTCATCCAAGCAGCCCAGAAAGGAAAGAGATTTAGGGCGAGGCCAGGAATGAGGACAGTAGCAGGAGGAAGTGTCCTTGAAGGACTGCTGAGAGCCCCTGGTACTAAGCACCCCTGAGAGAAGCCACCACCACCCCCCCTTTCAGTCTAACGAAGACAGCGGTTTGCCTGGGAGAGGAGTTGTGGGAGGGCACTCACTTCTTGCCTAGCTGCCGGGCCACGTCACAGCGCTGGAAGCCTTCAAGGTGGTAGAGGCGGCGGGCCAGCCGTCGAGCAGCTTCATTGACGCCCTGGCACCCATTGGCCAGAGGGTCTGTGTTGCCAGGCTCCAGCCCCTCTGAGCTGCTCAGCTCTGAGTCCGAGTCCGACAGGCCATCCTTCAGGCTGGGATCACTGAGGATGGAGAAGAGGGAGATCAGAGGCCCAGGGACAGAGGCCCTGCATGAGGCCCAAGGGACTCCAAGGCCTCTGCAAACCCACTCAGGGTCCAGAACAGGGAAAGAAGCTCCACTAAAGCAGGAGGACATCAGTTCAGACTTTCATGGGAGCCCCTCACATGAAATCATGCCCACACCACAGCTCCCTGAGCCCATCTGAGCTGAGAAAAATGAAGAACTGAATGGAATCTCAGGACCAGGGAGGAAAGTCTGGAGGCAGAGGTGGGACAAGGGGACCTTGGAGAGGGCTTGTTGACTTTGGACACGGGGTCATCCTAACATGCTTTGCCTCTCTGTGCCTCAGGTTCTGTATCTGCTCAGGGGCTCCCCCAGCTCCCAGTCCAGGCCCTGCCTTACCTGGCTGAGTTCAGCAATTTGTCCGTGTCCTCGTCATCATCGTCCTCGTCCCCCCCTGAGCCCTGGGGCCCATCCTCATGAAATCCATTGGGCATGGTCATAAGAGACAAGCGGCTCAGGACATTCTCTGAGCGGCTGCTAGAGATGGAGCATCGCAGGGGGCTGCCCAGCTCCTGCTCACCTCCAGCTGCCCCCAGGTCTCCCTCAGGCCCCAGGTCTCCAGTGCCCAGCCCAGCCCCTGGCTCGGGGCTATCCCGGGCCCGCTGCTGGATGAGGGGAGTGAGTGGGGCCTCGAAGCTGACACAGCTGTCACTCTCATCAGTGAGGCTCAGTACGTCCAAGGAGTCCAGGCTGCTGTACTGGGTGCCGTGCAGCAGCTCTGACTCCAGAATCTTCTCAAACGTGGCACTGAAGCCGTCCCGCACATCTGGCTCCCCAGGGCCATCCAGCCTGTGGGATGCAAAGACCAGTCACCATCCTGCCCAGGTGTCCTCATACACAGGAGCTGGTCACAGCAGCAGTCTGCGCCTGAAGCCCCCTAGGGGCAGGGAGCAGGCACGCGCTGTGTCTTGCCCCTTTGTTTTTTCAGTCAACACTAACTGAGCACTAGGGGCCAGATGCTGGGCTGGGAACTGGGGACACAGCAGAACAAAGGACAGATGTGGTCCCTGCCCCTCGGTGCCCAACCCAGGCTCTGGCTTTCAGTAGACATCAGATATCTGCCTCAGTGAGTGACCGTGAGGCCTCTTCTTCCAGTCTGGCCTGGGCTCCCACAGCACTGTGGATGTCTCCTTATCACAACCAGTGTCACACTCGCTCATACTTTTGCTGTCTCCACGGCCTGGAGGTTCTTAGCTAAGCAAACATACAGCTCTCAGGGCCTGCTTTCATGTCACAGGCCCACACTGTGTGAGCCTCTCTTCTCCATTCTCTCTCCTCAGGGTGTCTCCTCATGCCACCCAGCTCTTACCACCATGCAATATTCTGTTTGTTCCCCCTCTTCGCTGCATGCTCCCCAGCTCCCAGCTCCCCAAACCAGAGCTTCACAGGGCCAAAGTCTGCCTGGTGAAGACACTTCTGCCAGCCCTGATCTGGGTACTAGAGACATTCAAATAAGACAGTGCCCTGCCTTTGGAGAGCTCTCCGCCCACTGTGAGAGCCACAGGTGGTACTGCCATCTCCCACCGCCCTGCAATTGCCCAGACCTGAGGAGTGGCTCCAACAGGGGCTGGAACACCATCACCCCCATTTCCAAACCTCTCTCTGCCCCCGCCTTTGACCATCCCAAATCAGCAAGCAACCTGAATACAAAGAGCGGTCCAAGAAGCCTCAGCCCTCTGCCCTCCCCGCCCACTCTGCTAGCTGCTGCCAGCTGCCCCAGACCCTGCCTGGATGGAACCATACAGCCACACACACTGAGTGCACGAAGGCTCGCAACCCCACCTGCTCACCTCCGCCCACAGAGGCCGACAGATACTTCACCTTACACACCCACAGGAGAGAACAAAAGTGCGCCAACAACTGCACAAGCCACGGACACAATGAGTCTCTGCTATTTTAATTCCTTTTCCTGGATCTGTTGCCCCCAAACACCCAGAAGCTAGACAAAATAGGAATATGAAGTCCCCATCTTATGTATGAGAAAAATAAGAAGGGGCTAGAGACCACATAGCCATGGAGCTGTCAAATATAGTGAGTCTCTATCCTGAGACACCCACTTACCCCAGCTGAGGGTCCTCAGTGTCTGGACAGAGCCTGCTGGAGACATCATCCCCCTCTGCCAGTGCACAAGCCCTCCAGGAACTGGACTCTGTTGAATTTTCCAGAATGTTTGTCTCTGGTCCCAGGGTTAGGCCATTGGTGAGGGAAAAGCTGAGGCTGAGGCCGGTGAGGGCCTCACCTTGGGCCTCTGTGGACTCCTCAGGGTCCAACAGGGTGTCCTTTTTCTCATGCGCTGGGCTGCTGAGGAGGCTGCTCAGACCCTCACTGGCTGCCATTCCATTCTGGGCCCCAGGCTCCTCCTCAGGCTCCAGGCTGGGGCCCCAGGTGGCACTGTCCTCTTCAGACAGTGCAGATGGAAGCTTGTATTCATCCATGGCAGACACTGCTTCCACCCTGTCCTGACAGCTCCTGGGACTCCAGTACACCTGGCAGAAGATGGAGAGATGAAGTCAGTGTGGGTCAGATAGGGCAGGGACTGGATGTCTAAACCCCAGTGGAACCAAGGCACCAAGGCAGCCTGTCAGGGCCAGGAACATTGCCACGACAATCTCCTCAGGACCCTCGTGTCTGTAGCCTCGGTTCAGATCCTGCCCTCCACCTCTCCCCTGACCCCTGGTCAGCTCCTTGTGCCCAGTCTCTGGCTTCCCTATTATCTCTTGTCTTTATTGTGCCCTCCAGGATTCCCAATGCCATCTGTGGAAGATTCAGGTGGGGAGGAACTGAAGAAGGGTAGAGCACCCCTTGTAGGCCCCATCCATTTGCTGGTGAGCGATGGAGACAAAACCCCAGGCTGACAGCCAGCCCATGTGCCCCTCTGCATGTTCTCTGCCCCACCTCCAGGAACCAGAGATCTTTGTGGTTAGTAGAGGGAACTGGACTTTGGACTGCCTTTAAGGTGAAGGTAAAGGAGTCAACAGAAGTGCAGCTTAATCATAGCATCATCCACCCCAAGGAAGCAAGCCAAAGCTAGGCCTGGAGACGCCATGAGCCATAGGAGCTCCAGTGTGGGACGCTGTCCAGGGTCCTGGGCAGGTACAGGGCCAAGCGAGAGCCTGGAAAGAGCCAGGCTGCCTCTCCAGCACCCAGTGCCCTGGTTATGCTAGGGAAAAGGACAAAGGGCCTGGGATTCCCTCCACCTCTGAGCCCCACTGGAGCTTGCTCTGTCTTGAGGAGGGACTCATAGGAGGCACTCTGGGGAGAGCATTGCAAGGGGAGTCAAGCACTGCTCTGCCAACTTTCTCTGTGGCCTCATGTGTGTCTAGGTTAGGCGACCTCACTGCACAGCCCAGTCCGCTCCCCTCTGCTTTGTGCCAGGTGTTTTCCCTCCATCTCCACCCTCTGCCCTGCCATTGCACAGGACCAGCTCATGTTTCTCAGACTGTGGCCCCCCTGTCCCCTCTTTTTCTCTCTGGCTCCAGTCCTAGATAGTCTAGGCAAGCCCATCCACCTGACCTCTGCTTCGGGAACAGACCAGCCCCTCCCCACCCCCTAGAGAGCTGCAGAGGCAGGAATCTGGGCCACTTCCTCCCTCCCCTCTGTGGGCCTCGGCTATCCAGCACCACCCTCTCCTTTGGAGGACTGCTGGGTGCTCGGAAGAACCTGGGAGAGTAGAGAGATGGGTCTGCTTTCTGGGCTGCAGAGGACACGCTACAGCCACAGTGACAAGAATGGGAGACCCTCACATACTGTGTGTGTTTGCTCTTAAGTATTACCTGAGGACCTGTTAAAATGCATTCTGCCTGCCCTAGACCTCCTGAGCCAGGTTCTGCCAGGAAGAGATATGATGATCGGTGATTGTCATTATGAGGCAAATGTGGGAAACACGAGTTAGACAGCATAAGGACTTCCTACCTGCAAAGATGAACCCAAAGAGGAAGATAGGGGGAACTTCTAAGCCCCCTGAAGATGAGCTCAGCTACTGGAGACCAAGTAAAACTCATTTAACCCTTATTTTTCAAACATGGAGTGGAAAACAGAAGGGCCAGCTAATCTACGGATCACTCAATCTGATCCTCACCTAGAGTTTTGGCGGGGGGTGGTGGGGGTGTTGCTTTTATTTTTGTTTTGAGACAGGGTCTTACTCCATAATTCAGGCTGATGTGGCCTCAAACTCAAGGTGATCCTCCTGCCTTGCCCTCCTGAGTGCTGAGACTACAGGTGTGCACCACCATGCCAGCCTCACCTAGGGTTTTAACTACAGCATGAGAATAAGGTTTAACCAAAAAAACAAAACTGAAAGCCAGGCTATAGACTATCTGGGCCCTGAACTTAGGACACCAGGGACCCTCGGGGCTCAGCATAGAGTGAGGAATCTTTCTGGTATGCCCTACATCCCTGCTACTGGGGTTGCTATTTCAATCTGCTCCCTCTGGTTGTATACCCAGAGGAGGGAGACAGGAGGTCACCTCCTCAACTGAGACTCCTGGGAGAGCCACAGAGAGCATTTAGAAAGGAAAGAGGGGAGAGAGTGGGGCTTTGGGGCCCACTGCCGGAGTTCTAGTCCTCTGGCCTGCTTTTCAGCTCAGGCCCAGCATGAGCACTGGCTCTGGGCACAGGGTGTGAGCCCAATCCCACAGGATGTTCAGGCTCCCATGCCCATGGACAGAAGCTGAGCCTGAGGCCCCAGTGAAGCCCAACATTTTCTCAGTCTACACCAGTCCCAAAGATAGGGCTGTAGATGAACCAAGGACCTCCCAGGAGCTGCCTCAGGCTACTTCTAGCCCTACATGCCCTGCCATGTCCTCCTGCAGCTGACAGTGGGAGAGAGGCTCTGCCAACCCTGGGCACTGGGCCATGCCCTTGGTTTCTGGGATGGGCAGACAAGGGGCAGCATTGAGTTCTATTCTGGGCAGGGAGGTGGGGGGGGGGGGCTGGAGTCCCTACCTGGGCTGAGAGCCAGTTGAGCCTAGAATAGCTGACCCAGATCCCCCTCTCTTGCTGAGGCCAAGGAGGGGTGCATAAAGGAGAAGTTCAGGATGGAGCTGTAAAACAGTGCCCCAAGTCCTCACTCTGAACCACTGTGCATCCTGGGCTAGACTTTGCCTCCTCTGGCCTGTAGAAATCCATCTGTAGAAAAGAAGCCTCACCTCTGTTTTCCTCCCCCTGGGGCTAGGGGGAGAATTTAAGATAATGAATGCTAAGAGAGCTGAGATGCAAGGAAGAGCAAACTTACCACAGAGGTCAAGAAGGAAAGGGCATGCTTCACTCTTTCCATCACACTTGACTGGTGGGGAGACTGAGGCACAAAACTGGCAAAGGCTTTGCCTGAGATCACACAATGAGTCCCTGCTTCTAGAACCAAGAGTGACCTCCTTGTCCAGCTAGATGGGCTGGAAGTGCGAGAAGAGCCCCAGTTTCCGGGCCCCCCACCATACCTTCCCATGAGATCAAAGCCCAAGTCCAACCAGGAGAGTTGGCCCAAAGCAATGACCCTGCCTGCCTCCAGCCCCTCTGTCAAGAGCAGGGGCAGGGGTGCAGCTGGGCCACCGGGCATCCATGCCAAGGAGGTGCCTGCAAATAACAGGCGAGCAGTGCCCAAGATCCTCTGCAGCCTCTCTCAGCTTAATCCAAGCCCTCTCCAGGCAGGGGCTCCACTCCCCACAGCCCTTGGGGTGACCTTGTGCTCAGCAGCCTCTTTTTCAGCAATAGCCAAAACAGGGACCATGATCATAGTGGAACCCTGGCTGGCATCAAGCCACACATATTCTGGGTCTCAGCTGCTCTGAACACAGCCCTGTCCCCCCTCCACTGTCCCCATGTCAGCTGGAGTGAACTGTGAAAACACATATTGCATCACATGCCTCTCTCATTCAGAACCCTCCAATGCTTCCCCTCACCCTTAGAATAGCACCCAGTCTCCCCAGCATGTCCTAAAAAAGCCCTTCCTGAGCTGGTTCTGCTGCCCTCTCACCATCCCCCCATCAGCCACTCTGGCCTTCTTTGTGCTCCCCGAGCTCATTCCCACCTCAGGGCCTTTGCACCAGCTGTACTCTTGGCCTAGAATGTTCTTCTCCTAGATCTGTAAATGGCTTTCTCTTCTGCCATTCAAGACTCAACTCTGATGCTCCCTCACTAGAAAGGCCATCTGATTGCCCAGCACATGCTATCACGTTCCCCTACCAAAACCAAACCAGAACTGAAACCCCTTTCTCTATCTGTTCACAAACTTCCTGCCCATCTCTCTGACACTTAGATGTGAGCCCAGTGAGGGTGGGGACCTCTCATGTTCACAGCTGTTCAGCAAAGCCTATGCCACACCTGGCACACAGTGGGTGCTTATATATATTTGTTGAATGAATAATCTGGGGTTATCATCATCCTCATTACTGGCAAAGGCTCAGAGGGGTTGAGCAACATGCTCTGAGATTCTTCTTGGAACACTAGGCTGCTGCAGGGATAATCATATGCTCCCTTCCATGCCAGGATCCAGGCCAGGGACTACGAAGCCCAAGGACAGGACCAGAAGTGGGGCCCAGCAGGAGGACCCCAGGATCCAATCTGCTCTGTCAGACTCAAGGACCAGTGCATGGGTCCAGGTACCTCCTCCTGTGTGCTTATCTGTGTGCAGTGTAGGTACTGTGGACTCATACACACACATACACACACGCACACACACACACACACAAAGTGTACACAGAGACATTAGAACAAAACAAAGCAAACAGCTGGCATGTAGGGAGTGCTCAGAACAGACCCTGGCCAGTTATGCCCCTCCCAGCTAGAGACCAAAGCTGGCCCAGGCCTGGGCACTCCAGGGCTCCACGGCTCCCTTGGGCAGGTCCCTGGATCACCCAGATGCCACACTCCCTCACAGCCTCTGCCAGCCAATGGGTCTGTCATCCCAGAGCTCCAGGTGCCCCCAGGTCATCCCGGGCACATGCTTCCTCAGCACACCCACCACCCAGGGCAGGGAGGAGCCCGAGCTAATACAGATGAGCTGTCCACCCAGGACATACCCCAAAGTGACCCTAATCCTCCTGGCCTGCTTGGTCTCCCCAGCTTGAACCACCTTGTGCGGCAACAAGTGCCTTAGAGACACTCGCCATAGCAGGTCAGCATGCAGGCAGACTGCACACTCAGAAAGGCCTGGCTTCAAATCCTAGCTCTGCTCCCCAGCAGCTACATGTCCTCAGGAGAGATGCTCGCCTCTCTGAGCCTCAGTGTCATCCTCCACGAAATGGATCATCCGAACACTGCCCTTGTCACAGGGCTGCTGTGAGGACTACAGAAGATGGTGTGTGCAGTACTCAGGGAAAGCAGTGCCTTCTAGAACCCTCTTGGGTCTGCAGGGGAAGCAGCTGGCTGCCCCAACCACAAATGGGACATTCAGAGAAGCAGCATAAAGCTCAGATCATTCAGTCTTGTAGACATTGGTCCCAGGCAGCTGTCAGAGCAGGTTCTAAAGCAGGGTCTTCAGAGGCTCAGA